GTGGGGTGAAGGCAACCCACACTTCTGTCCGTTCTTATGCCCACCTCTAAAATGATTTTACAGCTTTTTGTTTCTCACATTTTGTATACTGGAAATCTTATTCAATTCACTCAAAACTGTGCGTCGAAGCGGATTTTAAACACGTTTCCTAATGGTCTGGGGTCGGTGCTGCTTTTTATATATATTGGTATAAATGACATTTAAAATATTTTTAGGCTGCTGATGGGGGAAAAGGACGATGTCCATGATTTCTGTAATTATAAGTTATTCATTAAATAGACAAAATGCAGACAACTAGAAACCAGTGCTTGCTAAGCTGGGAACTAGCACGTCTCCTACCTAATCCATTTAAAGTATAGATCCTAACCTCTTATTACATCAGTATTTTTGCACTTCATTTCCGAGTTGCCTAGATGGAATTGGCCTGCACAATGGTCTCGGATACAAAGGCCAACGATGCCCCATTTCTGTAACCGATATTTTGTGGAGAACTCAAGGCAAAACGTTCAGTGTAATGTTTTAAAACCAAAAGAGAAACAGGTGATTAGCCCTGGTGAACTGTAGGAAAACTTGTAATCTTTTGTCATTTCCTTAATAGTCTAGGAGCGTTGCCTTGTTGCTGGTGTCTCCACCAATTAGAATTTCGTCTTATTTTAGAAATGCTTCGGGACCTGTTATTTTTTTCACACAGACAGATGTCAGCAGAGAGTCTCTAATGTCTTCTGCGGGTTCCTTCACATACAATTCCCCTCTCATACTACAGTGACGTCGTGCCAGTGAGGACACAAATTATCATGGCTAATGGGCCTTAGAAGTCCTATCACCCCTCACGGCAACCAGGAGGCGTACAAGAGCTTTTAGTATGCCAGAAGGAAGACATTAATTGTGAAAATGATGGGAAGGGGTTGATGATTAACGCGCCATTGTCGTGGGACAAAAGAGATTCAATCTTGCGAACTCAGCATCAAATGTTCCAACACCAATCCGCTGTTACTTACAAATGGCAATCAATCAAAATAAAGTGATCTTGGACCTTATGAAGTGGAGATGACTGCAGCTTGCCTGGGGATTTGGACTTCAGCCGGCCTACCTAGCCTGAGTGATAGGTAGCCCATTTTAAAATCCTTAGTTTTACGGTAATAGGAGATGGATGATTTCATCAATGCAAGCCTAGAAATTACTCGACTCCTTCTTCGCTTTTACAAATGACAGGTGGTTATAAATAGATGTGAAGGTGAAAATAGCGGTTGCACCCACTGAATACGGCTTGCTTGAAGTTGCACATTTTTAAGGAAACCTTAACACTGATCCTTTCTTAAGCGACTAGAACTTGTTCCACATAACCTTTGTTCGACTAGCTGTCATGTTTCAAGCCAAAATTAATGCAAGAACTCCGTCTATTTGCACACCTACACTAATATCAGCTGCAACATATCATCTTGAGGTAGGTGAATGTTGTGATATTATCTATGTAACACACTTTACCACCTTTAGCATCTTACGGCGCAACAAATGAGCTAAACTTCCGGTCGTAGAATTGGCTCAATGCCTTAAGTCAGTGATTTTAAGCATACCTCTGCGACAGGACTGTCAGGCATCGGTTGGAACGCAGATTTTAACAAAATTTCCATCAATGCATCAAATATGATAGCATAGTTGTACGGCCTAGAAACACGCCATGGGATTTGTTCGCGCCATTGCATTTGTGAGAGGCTATAAGACAGAATAACGTTCCAGCATGATGCGGTCACCTCATTTTACATTGTCACGCCAACCAGCCAATGCTAATGCATCATTTGCGCATCCTGCCTTCGCCGTGAGGTTAATGACTTCAAAAGCCAATTGACTACATGCATAAGCTTGAAGTTCCGGGTTTAGGCCACCGAGTTAGACTAGCATCTAGACAATTGTTGAGCGTTGTGTGAACTTCTATGCTGCAGGCTACGGAAACATCAGTGCATTCGAATAGTAAAACCAAGACCGAAATGTGCAATGTCTATACTTCCGTCCCCCAGCTTAGAGTAGAAAACTGCAGTAGCTAGGTCATCAACTGGGACGCTTCACCTCTGCCATTCAGGTTGGGAATGTAATAATTGCTAAAAAATGGCTTGTCCACACGGTAACAGTGGGAGCTTGTTTCAGACATTTGGAGCATCAACACATTTCCCCAACCTCCATTAGGTAAACAACGCTCACGAGGCTAAGAAAACGGTCCATGCCTTGGAGCTTGGCACGAGTGTTCAATGGCATGAGCAGGTTAGGCTTTCTTTAAGACGACACTTCAAACAACCACAAAGCACACTTCTTTAACTCCCACGTTAACTCACCTTACCCATCTAAGGGGAGAGGATTGACTCACGTGCACTCACGCACGTTGATAGGGCTGTGCGTACGATCTACGTGACCACGGCAACTGTTTGGGGTAGGTCTAAGTGGTCACCGCAACTCACTCCTGCTCTAGTTTTGGGACAGACATGGCCCTTCCTGCTGGCCAAAGCTACCCGGGATGATGAACTCACCGAGACAGTTTGAAGGTCATTTTGACACCGATGCGATTAGGAAGTGGTGACCCTTCCGAATTAAATTTTCCCTTGGAGGGTAGTCGATACCACAAAAAGTGTAGACAGACTTCATCAAATGTTGCCCTTAATAAACAATTATAGAAATGTATTTGTTAGGATAAAAAACGGACTGAATGCTTCGTAGCAAAAGCCTCACTTTAGGACAATATAAACTGGCAGAAAAGTAACGATGCAATTCGATGGTCAGTGACTATCCTTTGTGTTCGTAAGTATCACAGTCACCCAACGAAAACACTCTTTCCTATATATAGCCTTGGGGACGGCATCTGATGCGGTTTACGCTATGAAATATGAGCGAAATCATCGCACAAGCATACTAGTGACACACTTGGAGGAGATCCAATAGACTTGCCTTTGAAAGCTGTTGAAAGACCGAAACGCAGCACCCTGCTGGTAATATTTATGTCCCCTCTCCAAGAAAATAACTCATCAGACCCGTGAAGCAATTTTGATATTAGAATCAGTGACAAGATTCAGACGAAAATGCTGGAGTACTACTTCTTGCCCCCACTCACTGATAGCTGAGAAATCAAGAGTTGACTGCAAGTGCTATTAGTTAATTTAACAAATACGAGGCGAGACTATTCGTGGACTAGAATAGTGACCCACTTTGCCCGCACTTTGTCAACAACAGAGGAAGATTGTAAGGACACTGCGTAATAAATAATTCGTTCATGATCCACCAACCATCATGCTAAAAGCACTTGAAATCATGACCACTCTGAACAATTAGCATCGTCAAAGTTATATGGACTACTGAACTGACTATCGAAGGGGATTCCAATAAGTGTATACTTTTGAATAAAGAAAAACCAGACTTCCAAACATAAACTCAACGTTGCTAACTTGACATAAAATACCAGCACTAAAAGACTCCATAGCTTCAGTGGTGAATTTCGAAACGTTAGTTAAAACAGTTAAAAAAGTGAGGATCAGTTAAGAACTTCGATATCCCAGAGAAGAAGCTAAGAACTGAGTAAACTGAGGAGTTTTGCAGGCGGAAAGGTTTTGGTGAATGTTGGACTGTGACTGCAAAGTGAGGGCATCAAGTAATTTAACACCAATTAAAAAGTCTTTGACCCTCCTTGCTATAATTTTTAACAAAATAACAAAAGCGAACGATTTCTTAACAATTAGCAAAAGATACATAGTACCGCATAAAATACAACACTACATTACATATAAACATTCATACACCAGCAGAATGCCGGTGCACTAATCTTCATCGTCCACCTCGTCCTCGTCAGAGCTGAATACCACATGGGGTTTGGAAACGGCAGTAGCTCGGCGCGATCGTGGCTTGCGGGGACCGGGAGGTTGCATCGCCATAATCTCCTCCTCCCTTTCAGTCTCCTCGTCACTAATGCCACTGCTGCTGGTTTGATTGACTCGACGCATCGATTTGCGCGCGTCGCATGCAACTCGGCGTCGCTTGGCCACCGCCTTCTTCGCCATCACTTCGGCCCGCTGCAGAGCCGCCTCGTCGGCAACACCTTTTCGATGGAACTGAAAAGCAACCAAAACCACTACCATAATGATATGCGCTGCCCACTTGTAATTAGTAGCAATTTATACAACGGAAAGATCTTCCAGTCAATGCCAAAAATAACGTCATTTTTATCAGTTATGAGCAGAGAGAATCACTTGATAAAACATCCAAGTTCAGTGTGCTTCCCTCTGTGTAATGAATTTGACAATGCAATAGACAATCGGCATTGGTGATTAAAATGAGAGTCGGGCGCCCAATTACCTCCTCGATTTTAGCCTCGAACTCTTCAAGATGCGGCAGAGCATCAGTCTTAGCGTTTTTCTTAATGTTGACGAGGATCTCTGAGAAGGACTGGTAAACATCGGGGATGGAGAGCTGCTGCGCAAAGATGGGCAAGTTTTCGTGCAATGTGCGAATCATGCGTTCATTGAAGGACATTACTCGTAGACAGTAGGCTAGATCACGCCATTGCCGCTCCGTCCTGTAGTAACGGAAGGCCAATGCAAATTAATTTGCAAAGCTACCATGAAGGAGAGCTTGAAAGGAGAGAACAATGCTTACTGAGTCACTCGAAAGCGAGAGCAAATCTTTTCCACAAGGGTTTCACAGAGCCGCTCCTTCTCAATCAATGGAAACAAGAAACTAAAGAGAACATCACTATCAAGAAGAGGATGAAAATGGAAAGTGTCTCATTAATAAACTAAACGAGTAAGATCACATAACGCGCTCAACAAGGTATTCACAGTCCCTAGAGGGGAGTCCTAGAGTAAGCGAAAACTTAATCCCTATCCATATCAAAACTACACTTTTCATTGGACAAAAGCTACAACACAAGAATTGATATTGACTGCTATGAATGAAGAAAATTCCACAAATAACGCTACCGATTGGGGACGAATGGCATTCGTAACTACGTACTTAAACAGGGGTGCACAGTGCCACATACTCGACAGTCGACCTGAACTTGGTTTCTTCCACCCCCACTTCGGGATCGCTAAGACGACTGATGATGTCAGGTATAACATTGTAGAGAGCATTGCCCTTTTGAGCAAGTTCACGGAAGAAGAGGCGAGACAACTGCCTCAAGCGATCATTCTCATCCACCAAACACACAGTCATTTCGCTGATCTGCCCTTTGACCTGAATGGACAAAACAGATGAGGTAATAGAAAAATGCCACTCAAAAGAGCAAGCAGGAATGAGGGCAAGTAAGGGGCTGAAACCTACCTTGACCATATCGTTTAGGATGAGGTGGCTTAGGGTGTTGAGTGCGTTGATGCGAACCTTTGAGGAAGTATCTCTGAGTCGAGCGTAGAGGTTAGGAGTCCATGGCTCGATGAGATTGGGGAAGCGACGAGCCAGATCACCCAGACCCACGATCAAATTGGCACGGACCACCTCAGAGGGACTGCGCTCCGCCAGAGTAAATAGCAATTGCAGATTCTGCTCACACACTATGCTGCTTACAAGCATAAATTTAGCCAACGAAAGCGAAGCGGATGCCTTTTAAAGCGAAAATAATACCATTAAACAACAAATACCATGCGAAGGAGGCTAATAACTTAGGGGAAAGGGGATATTAGAAGTATTCAACAATTTAGCTAGCTTTTAGTTAGTGCCAAGCGCATAGGAGCCTTACAGAATAGAAACCAATTCCATCCATCAATAGCTTTAATTGATATTCTTTCGGAAACTATGTGAAACTTTGTCTTAGAGAAAATTTGCAACGAGCAGCCAGAAACAGTGTGCGTTGGCAGCAAGGACGCACTTAAATTCACAAACACCAACTTAAAATTAAAGTTATGATAACACTTCCGCTAAGTGCTGAAGTAGATACATGTGAAAGAAGTTGAATGTAAAGCGTAAGAACAAGAAAACACACTTGCAGGTCGGGATCACCGTATCTACTGGGGTGTGAACAAATATGCACCACCAAGGGAAGGAGACGAGATAGAAGGTGATCAGGTTCAACGACAACTTCGGTGTTTAGAACATTCCGTATATAATCCGCTTCGGCATCGTCAGCGACAGCTCCAAGGAGAGCAGCCTCCTCCTCCAGGGCACTATTACCAGTGACTCCGCTCGTTTCGCCCTTCTGAGCTCCGTTGGTGATATCAACGAGAGTAGAAGAATTGTGATTAGCATTCTGAATTCAGAAGTAAAAAGTAAAATTTTCGCCCTACTAATTAGTGGTCAGTAAAAACAAACTCACCAGTTTCGCTAATCGAGGGGTCTTGAGAGAGTGCTTTTTTGCATGTTTGCTTTCTTCCTGGACAATCTCGCGTCGTTTAAGTTCATTTAGAACTGAGAACTCTAAGTGAACAAGCATTTTTAGGGCTACATGTCCAGCCAGAGCGACGAATCGAGCCAGAATGAATGATGGGACGGTGGGTGGAACGGTCTAAGAGTTAATAGAAATGGAGGATGAAATCAATGAATAGTAGCACCAAAAAAATAGTAGGAATGTTGTTCGTGCAAACTCAATGAATAACCGCATCCGAATAAGTTGGGCCGAAATTCTTACGATAAAAAGCTAAGAGGAACATCTAGTAAAAAAACCATTTTACTTAAGGCAATACGGCGCCGGCATGCATAATAATATGACATCTTAACATCGGTCGATCTACAATAACTCCTCCAACAAGCTAAAACTATGGCAAAGCTAGGGGTGCGCCACCCAGTAAAAAAGGAAGCAGTAAGTAGCTCAAATACAAACTTGTGAGACAAGCTCAGGATTTTCATCGGTTGCATCGACTTCGTTCTGCACTTTGGTGTTCTCCTCGCCCCCCTCGACCAACTGGGAAGATACTTGCACCTCCCTCTGCGGCTGGGTGGAAGGCAGAGACTTCGTGAGGGATCTGAGTAACTGATCCCCGATTTCACGAATCACTTCCGCCATAACCAGACTCGGTGTATCAATGAGTTGAAAGATTGTCGCAACCGCCTAGTTACCACAGAGGACAAATTCTTCTTAAAGAGCAGTGCTTGAGCAGCTCAGGAACTAAAGGTGGTATGCAACCAAGGCCACACACTTCGGATGGAAAATTTACTGTATAAGATAAATGATGCCATACTAGTAATTCGATGAGATAAGAATACAGGGATAAGCAAATATCATTCAATAAGGCCTTTGGTTGAGTAAATTAACTGTGAATCAACGTCCTCACCTGTTCCATCAAAGGAATCCAGTGAAGGCGGGAAGAAGATGTAAATGTCGAAATGAGAAGTCTGCGCAAGGAGGTACAAAGATGGTTCGAGACCGGTAGCCTAAAAGGCTCGTAAGGCTTCGAGCTGACAGGTGTTGAACGGGTGGAATGGCTTTTCTGCTTCCCTACCTGCTGTATTCCAACAAGCTATGTAAATAGCAACAAGAACAGCCAATAAACCAGTGAGAGTAGGCTATTCCCCATGCTTACCCTATGAGTGGGAACCATTTGTTGGATTGTCATGCAAGCATACATGGCGCATTCCAAGTCGATGTTCGCGTACCCCGTCGCAGCGCCAAGACCGTAGTTAACAAGATCGCCAAGGTGCAATTCCAAATTTTTCCTACTTGGCCTATAAGCAAAGAAGAGATCTATAAATTCATGACGACATAAATAATTTAGGCAACTTCACTTACAGACCTCGGTTTTCAAGCGGTCGTGGAGACAAAATTAAACCCAGTTTGAAAGAAAATGCAACTTGTTCTTTGGATTGAAGAAAGACTTACGAAGAGATCATTTTGAGAAGAATAAGAAGAGCTTTAAGCTCCTGTCGACGCTCAGAGCGAACGGAGGCGGCATCATTAATAGTGGAGGCGAGGTCGGTGAAGCGACTCCAGAGCTCTCGTTTGAGATCCTCGTCCACGTGGCCCAGATCAAGGAGCTCAAGAAGGATGCGTTCGAGACTGACAAAATCGCCCATCGTCGATTCCGAAACAAGGCGTACAAGGGTGGAGATCACTGCTGTCAATGCGGCTGAAGAAAGACGACCCTCCAACGTAAAGGACTCGTCCACTATATCTGGTTGGAAGTAGAGCCGACTACAAGGCACACACAAGCACAGTAAAACATCCACAAAGAATAAATTGGATAAAAACAACACGGATTCGCTTTTAAACTTTCTCATAAAGGGAACTGATATGAGTGATATTGACAGTAAATAGAACCAAGACGCATTGTAAAAAAATTAACAACGGTAGTTGAAAGCCACGTCCTAGTGTCGATAAAAAAAGCATTTTGAAGGGAAGCGCATACAGCCAATGCAACTAGTTTTTGCTAAGAAAGCTGTAGACACTCACCGGGAGGCGTCAAGAACGGCTTTTCTGATCTGCTCCTCCTGCGACCAAATCATAGCCATCATATGACGAAGAGCGGCATCTAGATTTCTCACGCCGGCTTGCTTGGCAGTGAGGAAGAATTCAATAGCTTCGAGAACATCGGTAACGTTCTTAGAGTGGAGAAGATTGCACATATTCTCGATGCCTGTAGATACATAGCCAGCAAAGCATTGCATCTCACGCAGGTAGGCCACACAGGCTCGCTGACGAATTAGATCTGCTTTCTGGGCTTCAAATGCCACCTCAGCGGAGATGGGTGGTGGGTGGGTGAGAGAGACATTCATCTGCCCGTCTTGAGCCACCTGCGCCGCCGAGTGAATAACGGCCTCAAGAGCAGCTGCTGCTTCTGATACGCCCTGTTCGACCACATCCTCCTCCACCTCCACCTTTTCTGCCCTATGGCATTCCTCTTCTCTGTCAGTCTCTTCACCTTCTTCCTCTTCCCTCCCCTCGTCTTCATGGTGTATTAAAAGACTCTCTTCAATATTGCTATTGTCTGCACTTGATGGTAGCACGGTACCACCTTGGTTAAAACGACACCGAATTAATCGCTACCATGACGAAGTGGCAATGCAAATGATGGAGTACATACCAAAATTATCCTCCAGTACCTGAAGTCTTGACTGTTCCTTGTTCAAAACTCTATTTAAATCTTCCATACTAAGCTGAAGGTAAAGCAGTCAATGCTGAAGATAAGTCAGAGACTGGATTGGTGTACAAATGAAATGAAGCTAAATGGGAGCATCATCGACCACATCTAGTTACTACATCTTGCAAACAGACAGAATAGGAAATTTGAAAGAAAGCAGATGGCAGAATACCTTAGCTGCCGGACATTGAGTAATGATTGTAGTCAGAAGACGCATTGCATATTTTCGGGCCAAACTGGACACATCAAATAGAGCTCCCTCCGATCCAACAAGCAAACTGACCAATTGAACTTGTCGTCGGATTGGCAAGCCCTGCAGGAGTAGAAAATAGGGAAAGATAAAAACACAAATCATAAGACTGATAAATGGAAGGGGCGAGTAGAAGCAACGCACTCCAGCAGAAGCAAGATTGCACCAAATTTGCAGGGCTCTAGCACGCACAAATCCATTGACATCGTGGATGTGCTCCTGAAAGCAAGCGTTCAAAAATAATGGTAAGAGGGGTGAGTTGATTAATTTATGAAATTAATAAGTAACACTACGTTTGATTTTTGTGACGTGAGTAGAACAGTTAGAAGCCGCTAATACATAGGAAGCGATCGCACCTGAAGTACATCCATGAGGCGGTCGCGTTGCACCTTGTCCTTCCCTTCAATTTGCGTATTCTCGGCGTGAAGATTGCGCAGAACCTCACCAATCACGTTAAGAGCACAGTTGCGCATCTGGTATGGGTCTTCGGAGAGTCGAGCGCGGATCAGCGGGAGGATAGACGTTGCCAGCGAGGGATGAGCTGACGATACCAACTCCAGAAAGGCGCATAAGTTGTGAGTGCCCGTTGAATCGCGCTCCAAATCCTCTCCGTTGTAACTGCAAATTTCCTATGAGAATGGAAGACAAGAACATGGAAGAATCGAGTAACAAAGGAGTGTGTGAGGTGGGTGTATAATAATTCAGCGTAGAACATACATTTAGTAACTCCTTGACAAAAGGTACCATAGATTCATCAGCCATAAAGCTGTTAACAATTGCAGAGAGCACATTGGCCATGTGTGCAAAGCATTGGAGCATTTGAGCTAATTTCAGGCAGCAAGCGATTCCATGCTTGTAAAATTGAATAAGAGTACTCAAGAGATTTGTGATGGCCGTCCTCAGTGTCGTATTGGCCGCCAACGACTTGTTTTCTAGCAACTTGTAGCAACTATTCGCCAAGAGACTAAAGGAGAACATCTCACAATGACAGCTGAATATTGGGGGTTACGATAAAGCCACAATGAGGTGAAGCAGAAGGGGAACTAAATACAACTTTCGATAAAGGAACAATACCCACTGCCACACAGAAAAACACACTTGACAAAATCATCTTCAACCACTGGAGGGTCCCAGAATTGTTTGATATCCAACTTGCAAAGTTGATCTAGCACCGTAATAGCGGTTGAGCACTCATCTGGCCAGTTAAGAGACATGTCTAACCCCGGTCGACGCATCTTGGCGGCAGAGTTCAAAGTCTTGTTGCGTCCACGCCCGACCTATGGCGAAGAATAATGAAACCAGAATTAAAAAACGGAAAAACGAGCAGTAAACGAGATTTAGCATCCAGCACTAAAATAAAATAGGGGCTGAATAATGATTTGCAGATCGGTTGCGGTCTCAGAAGTGCATTCAACAGAACACCAAGAGCATGAATGGTTATTTTATGAAATATAGCGCCAAATGCAGATAAATGGTAGGATAGAAATAACCTTGGCCGAAGCAGAGGCACCAGCCTCCGCAGTAGAATCGTTCTCAACCATTTCCATGAGTTGACATAGAAGGTAGGCATGCATCTTAATGGCATTTCTTTTCTCAAAGAAATCGTTTCTGTTGAGGCCAGAGGTGGGACAAAGAGGCTTAATCACTCCAACGAGTTCACGAACAGAAACCTCACAACCTATTTTGGGAACAGTTTTGTCCAATATCAAAAGACCCACCTTTAAGGACAATATGCCACGTATCCTCCTTTGTACTTGAGTCAACTGATTTCCATTCGCTAAGTAATGCGTATAAAAGTCATATAAAGCAATTGAAAACCATATCATTCCCCTCTAGTGCCAAAAAACCTACTGTAAGACACTGAAAAAGACGTCGAAATATTTCAGAACGGCTGCATGACCTTCACGGACAAGACATTTCTGACAAGCTAGAGAGATATAATACAAGTACTTCTGTGTTACCTTTAACAGCTGAGGCCAAATTTCGCACTGATACCAATTCGTTGACCGAATAAGATGAAATTGTTGAGTTCAGAAGATCACTTCGTGATACTGGAATCACGAATTCCAGCATGTTTTACAGAAGCGCAAGTCAAAAATGCCTAGAGAGAAAAACAACAACTAATCAGGTGGGAGGGAAAGCAAAGCGAGCAAATTTACGAATTTGAAGACGTATATCAGCAATAATAATGCAAACACAAAGGTTAGTGAATTGTCAACAGGTTATGTACCTGTTTAATGCAGAAACAGGTCAAAAATCGACAGAAGTTCACCCAGTCGAATTCTCAAACGAAATAATGGAAAGTAGATAGCTGGCTAAGGGAACCTCCAGGAACGCCTAGCGAAACAAAGCTTGGGTAGCAGACGGGCGCACCTCGCACAGGCAATACGCAAAGCCAAAAACGAGGAGATTTGGATGCTAAACTCCCATTGGCCAAATAGCCTTGCTCATTATAAAAGGGTAGACGGCAAGTTGTTCACCGTTAACATTGTCATTATCATGGGATCCTATTGAAATTGAGCTTATCATTTCCCCATTATGATAAGCTACATACTTAATCATCGAAATCAAAGAAATAACAGTTAAACGTGATCCTGTGAGCTGTTGCCGGTTAATGCAACTGACGTTTTTGTAATTTAAGGAAAACCTACGCCACATAAACCAAGCCGCTGGTGTACTTAGCAGCCACAAGAGGATTTTCATGCAAACTATGTCCAATGTTCGTTAAAGTCAAACAGCTTGCAAAATGCCCCTTGCTTAATAATATTAAACCTACATACTTACCCAGTTATTTCAAATAAAATTTTCAAAATAAGTCACGTTCACACATTTTGATGTTAAATAGATCAAGAATGAAAATATGCTTAAATGTTTCGGACACAGCATCGGCACACTCTTTGGAGTGGCAGTAGTTTTGTCCTCCTTTGCACGCGGTTTGATTGTCTCGGTGGACCTCGTCTGGTTGCTTGTATTCTTACTGTACACTTTAAAGGGAGTCGCATACTTTCCAAAGGTCTGTAAATTTGCATACGGGTACGTCAGCACTGAACTTGGCCTTGGACGTACTCGTTTCTGAGACCTTATAACTTCGAGGCTTCAAATGGAGGCTTCCGAAAGGCAACATCTGGAAAGCTTCTTACTACTTAGTTCGCCTGCCTCAAAACTAAAGCAGAAGCTCTTTGACTTATTAACAATCGTGGAAACTCAGGTATCTCTCGGTGTCTCTTATAACTATTTTGTGTAGCGCGATACCGCCGACTGGCCGAAATATCTGAATACCTTCGGCCTTTGCGCCTCAGAATTGGTTGAAATAAGAAAATTTCTCGAGTCAGAGAGATTTGCTTCCGCTCACTCCATGATCCTCACTCCACGGGCATTGAGTACAGATGCGGAACCTAACCTAGCCAAAGCAACTGATGATCGCTTGCTTATGTTCAATCAGGATGCGGCGCCTCTGTACCTACGAACAAAGTTAGACCCACAGGTGACTCCTTGCCGTTCTCCGTTAGAGTTATTCCATAATTTGCATATATACATTCTATTGGCCTTTAAGAGCTCAAGCGCTGCCTCAGAACCTTATATAATGTTACCTCTGTTTGGAGGACCCATGTTAGATTTCGTTTCAGTTGCTGCCACCGGTTGTGCGGAGTACTTAATTGAGGTCCACTTACAGGTGGAAGCCTTACGAACGGCTGTAGACACGCGGGCGATATCGTTGCGTACTTCCTCTGCATTCTCCCCGGAACACGCGCTAATGCTGCACGAAAAGCTAGTTGCAACTATGTTGGATGATGTTCGCTTACTGAAGCAGGAAATGGACCAGGATCAAGAGAAGTTGGTCACTGTTAGATCGGCAGCAAACCAAGATGATCTTTTCAACCTGGTGGCCATGATGACCGTCGGCAGAGATTATGCAATGGGAATGAAACCCGATGTTTCCAAATAGGTAGAACCCTACTAAAGATCCTATCTGTACAAAGTCCACTCTTTATTTCAACAACTTGGAAATAATTATCTCAAATTTACGATGAGGAATGGATCTGGGATATCGACTTGCATCAAATGCGCGAAATAAAGCCTAATACTGTTGACTGAACCCGCATGTAGTTAGGCGCTGGATTAGAATGTGCTCAAATGCATCTCCATTTGGGAGAACCGAGTGATAAAGTAGCGTGGACAGTTAGACTTCTAGTAACAATAAAACACGTGAAAATCAGTACGCATGGTATGAACGAATGAGTGAGTATAAACAGGCTACTTGATTGTTATCTTAACCGACATCTTGTCGGAAATGGTGTACTGATCCCAGTTTTTGGCAGGGTCATAGGGTTCCCATCGGCTGGCCGGAAAAATGTGCTTGTGGCGCTCATACCAAGAGCGCAAGCACACCTTGCCAGCGTGTGACTCCTCCTTCTCTTTGCTCACGTCCATTCGAAGTCTTACGTCGTCATAGACATCAAATGAGAAAAGCGGACCAGATTTCCCCCGTGCCTTGGTGACTATGAAGTCGTAGAATGTGTAGTGGTGAGGTATGATAAGGTCTTCCTTGATATACATCATCTGGTCTGCGGAGGCTGCTCGAAGTTCGGAGAAGTCTTTGCGAAGCTGGTCGAGACACCGATGGAGAAAGAGATGAATGGAGTGACCCTTTTTCATTTTAACTTGGCGTCGGTGACCAGAGCCATCCCAGTAGCTATAAGTTACACTTATTTCTTCTTCCTTAATTGCTGCTTGTTTCGCATGCCATTCACGTCGAAGCTCCTCACTAAAGAAATGAAAGAGGATAATAAAAGAAGGACAAGTAAACTGGATGTATAAGCGAAGTGGATGCTTGCCGTAGCTGCTTTTCTTCTTCATCGCGATCAATATCAGGCAGGAAGCTGGTGTCGACGTCTGGATTTTTCCCTAGTCTCCTGCGTTTTTTTGCAAATTCTACACCAGTTTCATTTGCTTCGTGACAGTTTAGGTCCACTGCTTTTTCTATCTCATTATTAATAGCATTTACTGATTCCAGTGAAGTGGAATGCTTGTCCTTGGAACAATTGATATTCGCAGAGGATCTTTCTTCTTCTGATTCAGTCAGCTCTTCTTCCTCATCCTCATTGAAGGAAATGGGACCCTAGAATGACACTAACCATAAGACCCAAGAATACGCCATACTCTTCGAACAGCACCGTGTTTCCCATGCCGAGCTTCACCAAACTTTGCTTTGTTTGCCTTGCCAAGAGCAAGCTCCTTCTCTCTTTGGGTGATTACGGCCTGCTGACGAGCTTTCATCTCATCCAATGTGACTAAGCCAACCTTGTTAAGAGAAAAGCCAATAAGCCCTAGGAGGAACATACAGTGTCCGTCTTAAGCTGGTTTTCGATGCTGTCGTGTTGGACGGTGAATTTATTAGTGAATTCGCCAACGCGTAATTCCGCTTCGAGCTTCTTTTTTTGGAACTCAATTTCTTGGCGTTCCTTCTCGCGTTGTTTGAGCAGCTGCATTGCTCGCTGAGATTCTTTCAGATTGCCCTTGAATGAGCTCATTCTCTAGAAGGTATTAAGTAATATGTAATTTAGTAGGGGCAAAAGACCCTCATAAAACGGAGATAGACCAGGTCCAACGGCGTTGCCGCATAACCTAACAGCATCTACTTTCGTTCAAATTTGAAGATAAAAAAATCAGACCCAATGTTTAACATGACCCCAAGGAACGTAAACTTTTATTAACTTTTCCAAGAATGGGTCAATCGCAAATAAAGCATCCAACAGCAAATGAGAACGAAGGATGCCCTAGAACTTAGTACAAAGGACAACTGAATTAAACACCCCCTATAAAACAGACCGCGGTAAATGTTAGGACACTGCCACACATTCAAGCAGTTCAAACATTAAATTGAAAGGTCGAATCAGTTTTAGAATAAAAGTAAACTCAGAACTTTTTGACGTAAATTATAGTTAACATCAATTAAGGATTAAAAAACGATTGCAAGAGATTTCA